GACCTCACCCAGTTTAGGACCAGCCTCGTTTCATCGTTTCCAGAAGAGCAAGGACATAAATGAGCTCAAACCCTCCTCCGTGCTTCCACACACTCCAGCTACTGGTCCATATCCAGATTTTTCCCTGCATTTACAGAGGCTTGGATAACAGCATTTTTGTGAAGAGTGGGCTTAGTGCAGAGCTGTAAATACTGATGACCTCAATAACACCCATTTGCCTATTAAAACCACTCATAATATTTGTAGAAGGAGGTGGAAATGGACTATTTGAATATGCTGAAATGATACTTATTATGCCAGAAGTAGATTTATTTTTAATGCAATAAAAAACGGATTCTGTGTTAGAAATTAACCATAAAAAGTGCAGTCATTTATATCATACATACTGAATATCAAAGCTTATGTGACAGAAATAAGTCACCAAATTTGTCCTCATCAGAAATGTCTTTTTCTCACTAACTGCAAGAGTTTGGGACTGAAAATAGCAACATTTAATGCATCTGAAAGCATCTCAGCATCCTTAAATCTAGAACAGCTCTTTGCAATCACCTAACAGCCGGAGCTTGTGTTTAAAGACCAATTTGTTACACTATTTAGAATTTCTGTTTATTTGTCTAATATATTTTGGTATAGCTGCAGTCTTGGCAACCCATGAAAACACTTTAGCTGTACAAGGCAGTCCATGTACGTTGAGTTATTTTTAATAAATCCTTAACCAGGCAATTTGATAATTCCCAAATCCATCTGTCAAATAGCATTTAATTTAAAGACACAAATTTATCACATTCATGGCGGTGTAAATTTGATTAGTCCTGAATTATGTATAAATGAATAGCTCTGCCTCCATCCCTAGACTCCTTGGGATGTCAGACCCCAACTTTAAATCCCTCTCACCAAAGCAATATGAGCCTGAAAAGCTATTAGAGCATGACTCCTGAGAGATGAACAAGACAAAAGCGTTATGCCTGTACCTCCACGTAAGGTGCGAACAATACCAGGCTATTTTCACTCTGACAAGCCATATTAGTCGTGCCAGCTTTTGCCTGCTGGCAACTCCGACGTGATAGCTGTCTGGGACATTTTGTTTCCAGTCACAGTAGCTGATCCCTTGATTAAAAACATTGAATGCTGAGAGCGTGTTATCCCTGTTTGGAGTTTCTGATCCTGGGTGTCTCAGGCGACTGCTGGGCTTTCTCATCCCCAGCGGCAACAGCTGATCCCAGGAACTTTAAGGACGCAGAGTGGATTGCATTACTGAGGTGGAAGTCAAAACATGCCAGAAGTGTTTGCCTGTCATAACCCTTCGCTGAAAAAAAATAAGAAAAATTCTGGTGTGTAAGCTGATTTCTAATGAGGAAATAGATGCATTGTTACCCAACTTTCACTGCAGTATCTTTAAGACAGCAAACGGTCTTTGTAAAAGTTATTTTTTTCCCCCGCATCACACCGTATGGCCTGAAACAGATTTATATTATGTGGTGACATAATGTTAGCTTGGTGGCATTCATGTTCATGGGTGGTTTCCGTGTCTCTTTTGTCAATGGCTTATAAAATGGCAAGAATTACACCGCTCCCCAATGAGTTACGACTAGGCACCAAGAGAGCCCATTAACAAAGGCCCAGATGCACACAAATCACCAATGTGTGTCCAATCTTTGTTTACACTATCACATTTGGCTTTGAAAGGCCCTCCACTTACACCCATTCATGGGCATCAGAGATGGAGATGTCTTTGGAGAAAGGGAAGTTTATTGGAGGCTTTCCTGTAACAGAATGCAAAGCCTTATGAGTTCCTCTCATATTCTCCAGTCTCCTTCTCTGCAGGCAAACCCTTGGCACTGGCTAGCCCAATAGGGAAAGTCACTTTTTGCAAGCATTGCCAAGATTTCTATTTGAAAGCCAAAATGTGTAGGCAGACAGATGCATCTGTCCACATTCTGTCTGTTCCTCTCTTTCAAACTTTCCTCACTGGCTCTCACTATCTCTCTCTCTCTCACACACATGCATATGCACACACATCCACTCGCTCACACAGGGGGCTGTTTCCTCATCGTTCACACTGAGAAATGCCCTGTAAGGATGTCCTTATCCTGCAAACCAGACTCTGCTGGATGCTATATAATAACAACTCCAGCCATCCACCATCCAATCAGCCAGGCTCACTGCTGTGGGTGCGCGCGTGTGTCTGTGAATATGCATGATTTTTTTTCTCTCCCTAAGATCTGAAACCACAGCGCACAGAAAGGATTTATTTTTTCTGACAAGATATAAACAACTCATACAAAATCAATTTTAAAAAGGAAAATATTTATTCATTTACAATTGTTTGTGGTCGGATAGAGGCTACTGTATGAGGAATTTCAGCTGAGAGCCATAAATATTACCACAATGATACATTAAAAAACAGTCCAGGATGGATAGAGGTGGATTATGCAGCAGCAGAAGTCTGAGAATTTTCTGTGGACATTTGGACTTTCTTGCTCTGGAAAAAGTGGGGCATCTTTTCCACTAATTATGGGATGAATCCAAGCTGACTACAACTGCTACAAACCTTTCAGACCAATATTTCAAACCAAAAATGTGTTAAATAAACTGTATTTGAGTTATTAATGAAGCATTCATTTTAAGTGGCACAATGAATCATAATCTGTAATGTTTCAATGGATATTAAATCTCTATGGCAATATGAACTATAATGTTTCATTAGTATAGCCTTGATGAATCTTTTCTGCACTTATGATGTTTTTAAAAAAATAAAAAATAAACATGTGAAGCATATGGATCCAGAGTTATATTTAACATATTATGTTTTAAGCCTCTTTAAAGGTCTAATCAGGCACATATGATTCAAAACTGGGTGTGCACTGGAAGACTACAGTCAGGTGCTCATTAATCCAAACATCTAATCAAACGTGGAACCGGCTCAGTGGATTCGGGCATGT